AGAAACACAGTTCGCACAGTCATCGGTTTGTACAATACTCGCGCGATATGATTCAAGTTAAGAAGTGACGGGAAGCGGAATTTTGCCGATTTATCGTGCAAAGGAGACGTAGGTTGCACGTAGGAAGCGAGAGTCGGTTCATTAGAGCGCAATTGGTAATAACCGTTCGTTCGCGATTCAAGGCACGTCGAGGAGGGTCGTGGGTTCACGCAGGAAGAGTAGTCAAGGAGGCGTGCACCAATAGAAAAGAAAAAGAAGCAGTTATCGCTTCGTTCATTTTCACCTGATAAAAAGATACAGAGTGGCTTCACTGATGCGCCTTCTATCGGAGGCATATTTGCTTGCGTGTATTGTACGATAAGTAGAAAGTTTATCGGCCAACGAGCTTTCCGCTTGACACTGATGGATGAACGCGTGTACGGTTTTCTTGTCGCGGGCCACAGGTCTTGAGTGATCCAGTCGCAAAAAAGATCCTCGGAACGAATTAACAGTGGACATGGTTCTCTAGGCGATCAAAGTTCACAATTGATCGCCATCACGACCGATTTTCGACCGTGACCTGAACATGCTCTGCCTAACATGTTGGTTCTACGGGCGGACACGTATTGTAAAAGAAACTATAAACTCGGGACCGAGTTCGAAAACGATTTCTTTGCTTCTCTGCGATGCTAGTGGAATGGCAGTAGATCGGAAAGTAGAGTCATCGAGAAAATATTCAATGTTTTGCCGGGACAACGTGACAGACGAAGCTTTGAGAAAGAACGCGTATGAATATCGAGGCATTACCTGTTCGAAGGCTTCTCGTGTCCACCGCTTCTTCTGGAAGCCTTGCAACAACGTACCTTCGAACAAAGAATCATCTACTAGTCGCCGTTCGTTGGGGAAATAAAATATTGATCGTTGCCTCTGACGCAGCAAACCGCTCGAGAATCGTTCCGTTTCTTCTCGACAATGTCCATCAACCGACCGGATAAGCGAAATTAGCGACGCCCATTATACGCTCGAGCCCGTTGAATTTTAAGTTTCACCGACCACGAGGATAGCTCGCGTGGAAAAACCGTTCGACCCAAGCAAGCAGACTGACGTCTCTGGCTTTCCACGTGTACCCGTTTTAATTAACCCATCCATCGGACGTGCACGTATACATGTATATGTACAGGCGCTCGATACGGTCTGTAGATAGGTATAGGACGGCTAGTTTCAGGGGAATCGGTTTACGTAGCCTAAGAAGTAACCGAGCAAGCGAAGCCTGGGAACTATCCGTTCGATACGGCCGCAATAGGCAAGAAAGAACGGCAAAGCGAGCGTGTCTTTCGTTCGCCGACTCTCCTCGCGGGCTCGTACTCTATTTGTCGTGCTTCGTGATTCTCATAGAGTATCGCGCAAGGACGCTTTATTTATCGGAGTCGACGATCGAGATTTGTCGCCGGGTTTATTGCCGATTCGCGGCCGATCTATGAATAGTCGTATTCACGTCCTAGCTATTCGGTACGTAACGATGCGTGATCGTCTCGTATCTTCCTTCTTCTCTTCACTCTCATCCTTACCTCCCTCCCCCCACCCCCTTCCGCTCCCTCCCCGCGAATTCACCGCGTACGCGTGTTTCTTTCTTCGTCTTCCCCCCTCCCCTCTCTCTTTTATCCAGTACGCGCGCTCTTCCTCCCAATCTCCTAACTACATTGTATGTACACCATGTGGTAGGTTGTTATTTAACTGTCGGATCAAACGAATATTTAACCGGTTAATTTAACGTTTACACGTTACAACGCGACGGCCGTATTTATTTCCGCTTCTTGCCGCCAGCAACCAGTGTCTCGCGTATTTACGTGTTGCAGTATACGTTAAACGTGTTAAACTCGAACGTGTTTATCATTCCTCTCGCCTCCTCTTTTCTTTTTTCTTTTTTTTTTTTTTTT